TATCTTATAAATCCAACCTCCTCTTATATAATGCTATTTTTCTTTCTGATAAATTTCGTACTGAAAATGTTCAGATAAAAATTATGTTATTTTATGTAAGTAATGATAGTTTGCATCAGAAAATCTGCAGAGTTGTTACTATCTTGCTTGCAATTGGTATCTATTTGTAATTATGGATGTCTTTGTAAAGCAAACATTTTCTATCAAAAAGTTATGCACTGGATTTTTATTTTTTTATATATTACTATTTTCTAGTGTTTCAGAATCTAACAAGGGTAGGTGCAAGATTTAGCTTCTTGATTTTGGATATGAGGAAGGTAGGCAAGTATTTTCACCATGAACCTAAATATCTACAATGGGTTATTGAAAACAGTCTCCTCCTCCTCCTCCTCCTCCTCCTGAGGTCAACAACAACTTTGAAGGAGGCACTGGGAAAGGGTTGTAGATGCAGTGAGACTGCAAGTGGCATATCTCTAATAAAAAAAAACTTGCATTTCTTTGTTTGTTGATTTTGTCATCTGTTATAAACTATATCTGAAGCTGGGTATAATGACCTGATAAAATTATATCTGATGAAAACAAGAAGCCCCAAAACACAGGAGAGGGTATGGAATGCAGAAGCTTTGCATTCCAAAGCCTAATGTTGAAAGTTCAGAAAACACAACGCCAATCATCTCTTAAAATATTTTTTCTCCTCAGAGTATGTAAGAGTTACTGGTCCTGTCTGAATTGTTCCTTTCTCCTTGACAGACAGAGCCAAAAGGAAACCAACCAACAGTTTCTTTCTTTATAACTGTCAAATGCTCATGGGACCAAATACCTGTATATCAAAACTATTTCTTTATAAAATCAAAAACTTATGAGACTCAACATGCAATGCAGCTAAATAATTTCTTTCTTTGGCACATTGAAAGCTTCCAGGATTCAGTAACAATCTTAAGTGAATTGTTTCTTTCCATATGATATCAAACCTTGCTGAACTGGGTATCAACTATAATCTTGTTTCTTTTTTTGTAGCACTGAAAGCTTACACAACTTATCACCAATCTTATCCAAACCCTTTCTATTTTAATAAAAAAGCTCTGAATCTTGAATTGCTTTTAATTAGGTATTTACACCCAAGCATTAGCTATACCATTTGCTCTATGATCTTCACCAAGCATTAGCTTTGCCCTATGATCTTCACCCAAGCATTAGCTATACCATATTCTAGCCCTATGATCTTCACCAAGGCATCCTGGATTTGACCATTCAAGACAATGGCTGCTGGTTGGATCCTGTGGCTCTTTAGAAATTCATCTGGAACTGAAATATCAACTGATTTCAGTTGGATCTTACTCTATTTTTCAAAGTTACTTTATACTTTATTCTTGGAACAACTCCCACCTCTTCATTTGCGTCAGACTGTGTGTGCATTTTGTCAAAAGCTTTCTGTTTATAAACAATCTGTTGAGTGTTTCCTCAGCTTAGAAAGAACTGGGATAGCGTCCAACCAGAGCCTAAAGACATCCATAGCTGGGTACGGCTGCCGTTTTGTGGGCTGGTGGTGTTTCTAACACTGCTAGCTAACTTTATATAGGTGCTACAGAGGGCAAATCTGATTGCTTTCTGTTCTCAGCAGTGTCATACACATACACCCACACACTCAAAAATCCAAAATCTTGAACCCTCGTGTGTCTCAATTTTTTTGTTAATCAAAGTTCATTTTACTGTGATTTTAAATGAGGGGCATGTTCCACTCCTATACCATCCCAATATATTTGTAAGGTACTGTGTTGGAGAAGACAGGGAGAGAATATATAATTAACTATACTCAAAAGTTACTGAATTAATCAATTGGGTGGGTGGATGGGTGCAATATATTGAACCATAAAATAACCAAACAGATTCTGTTCATGTAGCATGCTAAGCCATATTTTCTCTCTCTCTCTCTCTCTCTCTCTCTCTCTCTCTCTCTCTCTCTCTCTCCCACACATAAATACTATTCACAATTAATACCAACCAGGCTTTGCACATTGCCTTTAATTGATGTGATTAAGCATGTGTGCTTTCTCCTAGAGGAACACATGCACATCCAATGAGACCATAAAGAAAAAGCCAGGCTATTAATACATATCTGTGAGACAACTATAATCCCTCAGGTCCTGCTATGCTGCCTCATTGTAGTAATGATGGTGTGTTCCTGGGAGAAATGAGCAAAGAATACCAGGAGTATATGCCAAAAGTATGTATTCCCAGAAGGTTCACTCAAGGTGTGCAGGTTATCCAAACTGCCCAGATAAAGCAGGAAGGCACATAGATTGCACAGGACAATGCTGAAAGTGGCTGATCGTGGGAACAGGATCATGTTATGTTGTGTGATAGAAGGCAATGAGGGAAAATTCCAGTATTTCACCAAGGAAAGCACATGGAAAGACAAGATTGATGACATAGTGCTGGATGATAACTGAGGAAGAGCTGATGATCTTTCAGAGTGCTAATTGTAGGAGATGGCCAGGCTGAGCCTGAGGGAGAGGTCAAATGTGTTATAAGTCACGAGTCCTTGCACGCCCGCAAGAGATCTAAGTCTGGCCCACCTTGAATGCCTTTCTTATCACCTGCGCATTTCCCTTAACGGCCAGTTGGACAGATTCTTGTAGAAAGCTTAAGCTTGCAATAAATCTTTATACTTATTTGAACTGCCTGGATTTCCTGGGCACTTGACATTAATGGTGTTTATGACACAACTAGATCAAAAATCTTAAGGACATCTAGTTGTTGGTATTTCTATGCAGGAAAAGAAAACCTGAAGATGAAAAGATAGAATTAAACTGAGGTTATGGAATGTAAAAGAGTAAAAATGGGAAAGTTCAACACAATGAAAGGTGAAATGAATTGACTACACATTGACAACAGTAAAATGCAATGGACTGGAACTGAACATTTTCCATCAAAAGACCATACTGTATACTACTCAGGATGTGAAAAACAAAAAAGAAATGGCATTGCTTACATAGTCAGGAAGGATATAGCAAAGACAGAGCTTTAATACAACACAAGTCAATGACAGAATAATATCAATTAGACTTTGCTGACAACCTTTTAATATGACATTTATTGAAGTTCATGTTTCAATCAATGTAGACATAGAGGAGATTGACAAGTTTTAAAGTCAAATTCAATTTGAAATCAACAGAACATGCAACAAGATTTGCTGTTCAGTTTGGAGATTGGAATGCCAATGTTGGAAATAGTAAGCAGCAAAGGTGATTGGACTATACTTAAGCCCAGGGGTAGTCAACCTTGGCTATTTTATGACTCGTGGACTTCAACTCCCAGAATTCCTGAGCCAGGCTGGCTCAGGAATTCTGGGAGTTGAAGTCCACGAGTCATAAAAGAGCCAAGGTTGACTACCCCTGCTTAAGCCCAAGGAGCAGAAATGAAGGTGGAGAACAACTTATCAGATTCTGACAGCCCTATGATTTCTTCTTTGGTAACATAGCCTTCCTACAGTCAGTATATCACATGGGAACCATAAGATGAAATACACAGAAATCAAACAGATCACATTATTGATATAAAGAGATAAAAGATCTGTTATAACTTCTTTGCTAAACAGCCAGGGGCTGACTGTGGAACAGTTCATAAACTAGTCATGTTTAAGTTCCAAATCAAACTAAATTTGAAGAACAAAACCAAGCAGTTTTCACAATATGATCTTGAACATATACCCAGCATTTTTCAGGTAGAACACCGGGGATTCTTTTTATATCCTGAACCTCATAGATAAGAAACTAGAAGAACTCTGAAATGAAATCAATGAAGTTGTTCAGAATGAATGAGAAAAGAGACCGCCAAAGGCCAAGAAAGAGAAGAAAGAGAACTGGATATCAGAACAAATGGTGAAAATTGCCAGGAAGCTGAAAGAAACTGTGGCCAAGGTCTCAAGAAGGAACTTAACAAATGATTTTGGAGAGCTGTTAGAAGAGACAAGAAGCAATATTATAATCCAATCTGTAAAAACATTGAAAAGGGAAACAGACATGGAAAAGATCTTCCAAAAGTATTCTGAATTCAGGAGGTTCCAACCTCGAACTGATATGCTAAAGAACACTAATGTACAGATAATAACTAATTTAAAGAAGATCAAACAAAGATGGAAGGAATACACTGAAATTATATGTACCGTGTTTCCCAAAAGTAAGATCTACCCTGAAAATAAGCCCTAACTTGATTTTTGGGGGTGGGCCTAATATAAGCCCTACTCCAAAAATAAGCCCTAGTTTTGGGGTGAGGCACACACCTAAAAATCAAGCTAGGGCGGGGTGGGGCTGTATAGCTCCACACCCCCACACCCACTTATCTTTCAGGCCTCTCTCCT